TCCCAAGTCTCTAGTGTCTTAATTCACTGCTGAAAAGGTTACTGGGATTACAAAGCCTCTTAATTGTGTTGACATTAGTTTCTCCTTTTTAACTGCAAAACATTCCTCTTAATGTTGACAGTATTTCCTCCTTTTTAACACTGATTTTAAATATGCATTAGGGTATGTCTCCTGGAAACCGGAGCTCCTTGCCTGTGGGCAGATGCACAGGCTAAAACACAAACAATGATTTCTGGGGAGCAGGGGAAGGAGGGGGTGAGCTCTGGCAGCAGAGGGAGGAGGCACGGGATCATTACACCTTTCCTGGAATCTAGCAGGTGTGCGGTCAGGCATCACGCAGGGAAGAGAAGGCAGGGGGAGCCAGGAAGATGGAGCAAGGAACAGAGAGAGGCATCCTACAGCTCTTGGTTCCTGTTCTCTTTTGACAATGGTGCTTCAGAAGAAAAAGGAGATAAAACCCTCTGAGGAATGACAGATATTCAAGAAAATCATGGAAAATCAGTTCCTTACGTTTTTCTTTTTAAAGATTTTTATGTATTTTTATCGCAAGGCAGATTCACAGAAAGGAGAGACAGAGAGAAAGCTCTTCCATCTTTTGTTTCACCCCCCAAAATGGCTGCAATGGCTGAAGCTGGGTTGATGTCAAGCGAGGAACGCCTGCCCAGTTGCTTGTCTTGGATGCAGGGTCCCAAGGACTTGGCCATCTTTCACTGCTTTCCCAGGTCATAAGCCGGGAGCCAGATCAGAAGTGGAGCAGCTGGGACATGAACCAGCAAGAACTTGCTGCCCTAGACCCCCACAGGGCAGAGGTACTGCTGGGGCCGGAGTGCTGCCACGCTGTGGGACTGTGCTCAGGACAGCCAGGCAGGCTCCTGACGCTTGGGGGAGACCCTGCAACGGCGCTGTGTGCTGTGCACTGCATGGGAACTGTCTAGCTGAAGGGAGTAGGCATTTCCTGAAGTACCGGTTCTCCAATCAGCCTGGCCAACGGGTAAGCTTACTGGGGAGTCTTAGTCAAGAAAAAGGTTTTCTCGGCCTGGCTTAGCATTTCCAGAAGCAAGCACAGCTGAGAACGGGACATTCCTGCCTGCCTCCCTGTGACAGATGAAGCTGTGTGGAGAGGGGCTCCTGGGAGACCTGTGGCAGAGGAAGTCTGTGGGCCCTAGCAACACCAGAGCCCCGTCACTGCAGCAGGCGTGGGGGGGAAGGGCGAAGTTTCCTTCAGGAGCACAGGCAGGTTCGGGGCTCCCCTAGGCCAAGAGTGATACATGAGCTTTGCATTGCTGCTCTAACAAACTACCGCTAACTTGGCGGGTTCAAACAGCACAGATTTATTACCTGCCACTTTTGGAGGTCAAGTCTGAAATGAGCTTCAGCGGATTCCATCAGGAAACCAGCAGGGCCACGTCCCTTCTGCAGACAGGAATCACGCTCCCCCCTTTCTAAGCCCATGGAGACTGTCACTGTCCTTGGTCTGTGACCTCCCACTCCCCTGACCTCCACTTCCACCTTCCCATCTCCTTCTCTGTCTCTGATGCCTTGCTTTCCCGTCTTCTACAGACCCAGCCATTACACTGGGTCCAGAACGCTGTCTCCATCACAAGATCCTTGGTGTCTCACTCATGCAAACACTTCTTCTGTGAAACACAACAGAAAATTGCAAGTTTACCGGGACCCACAGGGGCGCAGGTGAGGTGGCATAGCTAAGAACTATCAAGTTGGGTCAGCACAGTGTGTTAAGCCACCGCTTGTAATCCTGGCATCCCATATGAGTAGTTTTTCAAACTCCAGCTGTTCCACTTCCTCCACCTCTCTGCTGATGCACTTGGGAAAAATGGAGGAAAAAGGCCCATGTACTTGGGTCCCTTGCCATCTCTGTGAGAGACCTGAAGGGAAGCATTCATGTCAGGTGTCCCTATATGGACTTCCACAGATGCCCCTCGCTGTCCCTGCCTTCTGTCCCAGCACCTACTGCAGACTGTCAGTGATCTGTGTATTCCATGTCAGGGAAACTTGCAGAGCGGAGGCCCCGTTTCAGTGGCTGAACCCAGGTCCATCACACAGAGCTGGCACTTTCTCTCTCTCTCTCTCTTTCTCTGTGTGTGTGCTCAAAATAGGCTACAATTGAAGAAATAAATGAGTTCCCATAAGGCACAAAGCCGAGAATTCCTAAAGTGAGCCAGGGGCTTGAACACACATGACACATTAGGCTTGGGGCTCTAGCAGCACACAGGAGCAGATCTGCAGTGGTAATTCCAACTGGATCTTGGAAATAAGATATCAAGAGCAAACACTAAACAAGACTGAGATCCAAAGAGTAAAACCTGGCAAACTTTAAGCTGTGCGATCAAGGACTCAAGGACTCAAAAGGTCCACCGATCACTGGGAGGACTGAAAAGATCTCCAGGCTTTTCCTTTCTCCTTCTGTCTCGATTTCAACATCATCCACTGTCAGACAGACCTTCCCTGGGCACGCTCCATCAGTCACGTCCATGCCCTCCTGATGCTCAGAGCAGCATGAGAAGACAGGCAGGGTGAATGGGCAGCCACCTGCACAGCAAGCAACAGGACAGGGCTATGCCCACAGTGAGCACCAGGATGGGGCTATGCCCACAGTGAGCACTGGGCCGCCTCCGCAGTGAGCACCAGGACAGGGCTATGCCCACAGTATCTCCACAGTGAGCACCAGGACAGGGCTATGCCCACAGTATCTCCACAGTGAGCACCAGGACAGGGCTATGCCCACAGTGAGCACCAGGACAGGGCTGTGTCCACAGTGAGCACCAGGATGGGGCTATGCCCACAGTGAGCACCAGGACGGAGCTATGCCCACAGTGAGCACCAGGACAGGGCTATGCTCACAGTGAGCACCAGGACAGGGCTATGTCCACAGTATCTCCACAGTGAGCACCAGCATGGGGCCACCTCCACAGTGAGCATTGGGGCACCTGCACAGTTAATATCAGGATGGAGTTTCACATTGGAGAATGTGGAGATAAGGAGTGAGTGAGGCTGGCTGCCTGGGGAAGGGGGCCTTAGCAGGCACGTCCATGCTGGGGACCAAGTGATGAACACCCTGGATAAGGTTCTAACAGAGAGCTGAGTGAGAAGAAAGAGGAACTTGAGGCTACCCCATAAATACTATCTGATCAGCAGCACGGGAGTCCTTGAGGCATCCTCACCTTCCACATTGTGGCCTCTGTCACGGGAAGGGCAGCTGTCCTGGTGAGTATGTCAAGGATCGGATTGTGTCCCCCCTCCCCTGCATACATTGAAACACTAACCCTAATATAATAGAGACAGGGTATTTAGAACATAATTCATGCTCACCAAAATTATATGGTTGGGACTCAAATTCACAAGGGCTTGCTCCTCCCAAGAGGGCACATCTGGGAGTGTCCCTGGCACGGCACGGGCCCCTCTGACTGTCAGTGAGATGGGTGGGAGACAGGGCACTGATGAAATCCCACTGCTGTAGGAACAGGTTTTAGAACTGCAAGACTCCTCCCTGCATGCATAACACAAACTACTCCCTCAATTCCATGTCAGAAATGGCTGCAGGGCATCTAGAATAAATTACCCAGTCGGTCATATTCTAATACAAGCCCCCCTCACCTTATGGACTTCATTTCAACTCCCTTCCATTCAGATGCTGTGTTTTCAAACATCTCATCTGGCACTTTAAGACCTGACTGAGAATTTGCAGAGAAATCACATAAACAGAGGTCAAGACTTGCCCACTACTGTGAGACCCAGCATTCCTAGCTCGCACAAAGCCAGATGTCCATCTTTGCTGGGGCCCTGGATGCAGTGGGATGGGGGATACGGAGAGCAGGTTAAACACTGTCTTTCCCATCAGCCTGACACCCTGGCTCCTGTCATGGTGCCAGGAGGTGAGCAGTTGAGAAAGCCCAACAATGCTTCTTTACTTTAAAGAGCCCCTGGGTGGTCTTCTTCAGGGATGAAGGGGGAGGCTGTCACTCAGGGCTGCCATCAGCCACAGTGGGGGCCAGAAGGGGACAGAGAAGGAGCAATGAAAAGAGGGAAAGGGTGTGCTGGTGACCCCTTCAGCTCCAGGAGGGGAGGCAGGGACTGCACACAGTGGGCTCTGGAGGACAAGGAGCCTGAGGGTCCTCAGCTCAGGGACCCTGGCAGTGAGGGCTCACACAGCAAGGCGCCCTCCCCACTCCATGCTGGTCAGCCCTGGCTGCCGTCACACAGCCTCCCCAGCACTGGATTCACTGATTTATCTGGGAGACGGACAGCAGAGCTCCCTGTCCACTGACTCACTTCCTAAATGCCCCCAAATGCCCACATTTGCTGAGACTGGGCTGAGCTCTGGATCGTTTGAAATCTCTTAAAAAGAACTCCTGGCCTCTTTGGAATCTAAGCGAGGTCTACTTCCTGGTGTCCTGTTCACTCCTAGAAAGATCAGCACCCAAGGCTGCACAGCCCCGGGGAACAGACACTTCCAGATGCTGGACACACTGCTGACAATGTGACAAGTTATGAAGCTCATAGGTATGGCCTGCCACGGTGCTGTCATGGCTTACTTCAAAACCACTGGGTCTCTGCCCTCAACCTCGTGTCACCAAAGGCCAAGTTCACCATCACTCAATGTCACCAGGCAATGGAGGGTGGCCACAGTGTGTGTGGGGGGATAAAGACCCACAGAGATCCCAACACTGGCCTGGGCGTCAGGACGGCCAGTGGCACGTGAGCTGACACAGACAGGCAAGGGGTGTCTTCTCCCCTGTAGTGTCCCAGCTGAGAACTGTGGGCCTCTCCTTCTCCAATAGGCTTTAAGGATACAATTGCCACCTTGACTTGGAGATGCTGCGGGTCCTATGAGCTGATTGGTCCACAAACTGGTAAATGATTAGCATCTTGGGGTGCCTATTTGCAGCTGTCACCATGGGCACAAACCGCTTCCCCCCATACACTGGCCCTCCATCTCCTGCAAAGGCATGGGCAGAGGCAGGTGTTGGTGAGAGCCTTACCTGGTCCAGCTTCCAGTGGAACTCTGCAGGGCGGAAGGTGTCAGCCTGGTCAAAGTCCTTGCGTAACAGGAAGACGAGGCGGCAGTTGTGTATGTACAGTGCATAATGGTGCCGGTTCATTTCTGAAAAGTAGAAGCAAGGATTGGCAGGTGAGAGACCCTCCATGCCGGCCCCTGTGGAGGAGTCAGCCTACTCCATCAAAGAGCCCAGCTCAGAGGACAAAACCACAGCCATTCTAGTTTGCACCTGAAGGTTCCAGAACACAAACAGAGCTCCCTGAGTCAGACGAGGAAGACTAGAGCAAGCACAACCATGAGAACTTGTGGGGCTTTAAATATTAGCCAACTTGAGCTCAGAGGTAGCATCAATCCAGCATGAGAATAGCATCTAGGTTAACAAGCTCAGTTTTGCTGTTAGCATTGCTGGCATTTTCAGGAGGGCCAGGGGCCTTCTACTAGTACCACCAGCTGCTGTGTGCTCCTTGGACACAGCGGCTTCTCCTCGAGTTCTGGCTTTTATTTCATCAAGCTTGACAACAGGCCACAGAACTCCTCTCTTCTCCCTACCTAATCTCTGATCAGAGGAGCAGCCGCCTTATCACGGCTGGGAAGGTGTTGGGGGCGGAAGGAGATGAGAGGGAGGGCACACTGCTCCCCCAGCATGAGACTCTGTAACTCTCCAAAGTCATGATTGAACCCCTCCCACCTCTCTCCCATTCTGCACCTAAGCTTACAAGCTGCCTTTCCTGCTTGGCCAGCCAGCCTCCCTTTGGATCCCTGCCCCGATGTTGTCTGTCAACTGGCAGACAGGGAGCTGCCCTTGGAGCAGGCTTTACCTGATGGCACCCAGAGATCCACCAGGAGCATGCTCCGTGTGTGTCGGGTGAGGAGGTGATCACGCACAACGGGAAGAGCATGCGTCCGAGAGTCGGATTTGAGCTGAACTGACTCTTCGAGTGAGAGTGGGGAGAATTATCCAGCCTCAATGTCCTCACTGTACCACAAAATATGCCCTGAGGATGGGAGAGCGCGTACACCCTTGCCAGCATGAATCTACCCCCAGGACTGGGCTTGGCAGGCTCCGGCCCATCACTTGCCACAGGGTTTGGTCGGGGTTTTATCCCCACCATGCTTCTGCCTCACAGGGCTCCAATTGGGACCTGGCATGTGAGTTAGTTCAGGGCAATAATGTGAGTTTTCCTAAACAGTTCAGAAAGAAACCTCTCTTTGTCTCCGAGAAAACAGCAACTAGAAGAGAATTCGTTTCCCTTCTGAAAGGTGCACCATGTGGCACATGTAGCCGGGGGCAGGAGCTGCTGCAGTTCTGTGTGCTAGTGGGACACAGACATGCCTGTAAGTGCAGAGCTGAGAACCTGCAGGGAAAAGGGGCCACAGACAGCCCTGGCAGTCTTCAGTCACAATGCCTATGCTGCTGTCCGATATCAGCTTGACCTCGACTTCCCATCCATTGTAACTGAAGCATTTTAATTGGTACAAGGAGGAGATGCATGGAAAGCATCTGCCCAGAACAGATGCTCGAGAGCTGTTTGCTATTAGGAGAGCGATTACCTCGCCTCGTGATGATGGCACCGCAGCCAAGGCGAGCAGCGGCTGCCTTCACATAAGGATGTCACCAAGGAGTGGCAGGTAGAAGACCACTGGTTGCCAAGTGTGGGTCTCAGCAAAAACACCCCAGCAGGGTCATCGGATTTTACTAAGTGCTTCTGTCCTGGCTCCCAATAGTTTCTATTGGTAGCTGTTAAGGAAGCAGAAGGGCAGGCCGGTGTTGTGGCACGTGGATACAGTCATCACTTGTGATGCCAGCATTCCATATGGCCACTGGTTGGAGCCCTGCCCACTCCACTTGCAGTCCATCTCCCTGCCAATGGCCTGGAGATAGCAGCAGATGATGGACCAAGTGCTCGGGCCCCTTCCACCCATGTGGGATACCTGGATAGAGTTCCTGGGCTCCTGGCTTTGGCTCAGTCCTTGCTCCTGTAGCCATCTGGGGAAAGAGCCAGCAGATAGAAAACCTCTGTCTGTCTCTCCCTCTCTTTTTTGTAACTTTGACTTTCAACTAAATAAATACTTTCTTTTTCTGAAAAAATGAAAGAGAATTTGGGGAGGGAGCAACGCTGGTGTTGTGGTACAGATGGGTTAGGTCAGGCATCCTTTGTCAGAGCTGTCGTTCAACTTCAGCAGCTCTGCCTCCAACCCAGCTCCCAGCTAACACATCTGGGAAAGCAGTGGCTGACGCCTGGGTCCCTGCAGCCCACACGGAAGTCTCAGTTGCACTTTCTGGTTTTGGCTGTGTCAGCTCTGGCTGTTACAGCCATTCAGGGAGTGAACCAGAGGATGAATCATCCTCCTTTCCCTGTCGTTAAAACAATTCCAAAGTTCATGGAAATTGCACATTATGAAAACTTGACATCCAGACAAATTATTTTGTAATTCAATTTCCCTGTGAATTTTTGAGGTACCTCCCTATAGGAAGAGTTCTTGCCTTTTGTGTTTAATTAGAGACAAGAAAGGCTGGAGATGAGGAGAGCAGCAGGAAAGAACAGCTCTTTGTAAGATGTTTGTACACAGCCTCTAGCTTGGTGGTCCGTCTCTCCCTGCCTCATGTGCGCTGCAGGCAGCTGGTGTGCCCAGTGCACACTGGCACCACACATTCAGGAGTCAACTGCCCTTAGGCATTCTTCAGGGAAGCTTTCTTTCCTTTTCTTTGTCTACATCCCTGGCAGATTCAAAAGCCTTCCAGTCACTTTAGATGGCAGAGTAAGCCTCAGAGAGGCATATCCAGGTCACACTTCAGACATCTCAACCAGCTGCAAGATGGAACCCTTCCTCCTCTCAGCCTGGATTCACGGCTCAGTGGCTGCGGAGGCCTATGTTTCTGTTCTTGTCTTACCCCTCATCTCCCCAGTCCCTGCTGGCTCCTAGGTAAGAGGTGGGGAAGGCAGACAAAGCAGAAGGAAGCACAGCGTCTGGCCAGAGCTGGTGATTTCCCAACGGCTGTTGTAACTCCTTTCTCATGGCAGGTGTCTACACAGAGGCTCTTTCAGGAGTATGAAGATTGGTTTGTGGGGAGGCTGTGCAGAGACTTGAGGTTCTCACTGCCTCACTGCCTCCCCAGGGAGGATGGCTCTGCTCTGAGTCTATGGAGGAATGCCTGTCCTCCATGTTGACTCCACCCCACTGTGGGGGCCCTTACCTCTCCATTCCAGTCGAACTTTCCTGATCCCCCTCAGCTCCTGCCCATGCCCACATTCACCTCTGGACTCACATGGCAGGCAGCCATTGGCCTGAAGCTCAGTTCTGGAAGCCCATTTGGCCCACAAGGACAAGAGGGAAACCACTTACGTCTTGCCAGATAGTTACAAAATCTGCTCTCCTAACTTGCCCATCTTACTCTCCCATGGATGCAACCCTAACAGCCCCTTGACTTTAGACACTCTGGACAAGTCAGGTCCCAGCTTTCATGCATCTTAAACTCCTGGAGACATAAACTTCCCCCAGGATTATCCGGGGATCTGCTTTGACACCAGTATGGAGTGAGGCTTACCTTCTTCTCTAGAGCAGACAATCTCATGCCTTCCAAGTGACTTTGCTAGGTCTGTCTGGGGGTGCAAGAACACTGTTTCCCTTTGCCTGCAGGCAGGAGGCTGTTCTAGAATGTTCTAGAGCATTCTATTAAGCAGGCACTGTCAACTTGCCTGCTGTTGATATCTGGACAAGGTTGGCCTCTCTCCTCTCTCCCTCATAAAGGCATTCAGGGTCATGGCTAGTGCCTCAGAGACCACGTATCTGTCACTGTTCTCAACGAAACACAAGAAATAGCATAAGGACAGCCCAGCAGGAATGGCAGCTATAGCTCAAAGGGGATTACTGAGAGAAGACAGGTGAGGAGCAGCCATCAGAAAAAGCAGCAGAAAGAGGAAAGGCTCAACCTGGGAGGTGAGGATGGAGTCGTCCCAGGGCTGCACACCAGACCCCCAAGCCCTGTGATCCTGCTCCTAGACACAGTGACTCCATTCACCACCTCTCCTGAGCCTAGCTGGGGCACTAAGACCACTTTCTGGCCAACAAAACTTGATTAGAGGTGAGATCTACCATCTTCTGTCCTAATAGAACATTCAATGTTCTACTCTAACTTTCTGTCCTGTGGTTAAAGATGGCAGCCCTACGGGTCATGGTGGCCTGGGACCTCCGCATGGACAAAGCGTAGCTGCACAGGAGGGCTCTGTCAGGACCAGAGGGAACACTGTGATGGAATATGAAACTCCAAGAGTTTCATATTCTGTTGGTGGTAGTGGTAATCTCTCTTACTTGCTCTCTTGTTCTCTCTCCTGCAATTAGTCTTTGCTGACTAATCAATTCTGATATACAGCTATTTATAAATTACTTTGTAATGAATGTGCATTAATAAGCTTTATTTAGTGTGGCAAACAGCAATTATTGCGATCTTGTGAAGGGCGATTTGACAATTTACATTAATAGCTTTCCTAACATTTATATTCTTGGACTCAAGTAATTCCACTTCTGGTCAGGAAAGAATCAGGAATGCCCCAAAGGCACGGGCCAGAATGCTCGCTGTGGCACAGTTTTATTTGTATTTAAAAGGAGATAATCTAAATGTTTAACAAAAAGGAGCCAGTTAAATGAAGTATGATAAATCCATATGGCAGAATTTTATACTGCTATATAATTCACATTTTTAAAGAATATTTTATCACATAGAAAATTATCTGGATATAGTTACACAACAGAGACAGATAATAGCATCACATGCATTATAAAAATGTATTGAAAACTGTAAGCATTTTCTACATATGTATGGCAACAAAAATAGCATCTCAATGAAATGTGCAAAACGTTATGAGACAGCATGTCCCCAAGTGTTAGGATTTAAGGTGGTCTATAATCCTCTTTTTTTATATTCTTCTGTGTTTTCACATTTCTGCTATAAACATATGTTGTTTTTATATAACTTGAAAGATTTTTGACATAAAAAATTCTGAACCAAGTTTTAATTTATTTTTGACATTTTTGTTTTCATTTCAGATAAGGAGCTAGGTATAGATTTTAAGTCTCAGAAGTTAGAAAAAAAAATCTTCCCATCTCGTTGGGCTGGTCACAAGTTAATTTGTCACGTGTCATTTTACACAAGAGCAGGTCTTGCTGACCATGGGAGCTCGAATGCCCGCTGATGGATTTGTTGAGAGGACAGGAGGTCTCGCAGGTGTAGGCAGGGTTGCTGGCCATGGCTGCGCAACAGAACCCCCTGAGACTCTGGCTCCTTGAGATGGGGATACTGGGGGCTGGCGTCCACACACTGCTACCCATGCGCTCACCTATTCTAACAAGAACTGCTGGGGCTGTGGTCTGGGCTGGGAGCATGCCGCCCAAGGAATCCAGGTTCTTGGTAAGTGGTTGTGTCCTGGATCAGTCCCTCCACCTGCCACAGTGCAGGGCCTCCTCGGTGGGCAGGAACGTGTGTCTCGCCTGCCTCCCAGGTGTGCTTGCTGCATCTCACATGGCTCTATCTGTGGGTCTTCAAAAACTCATGGACATGCATAATATGAGAGAACTATGTATGGATTTCAAATGTATCTTTTTTGGACCAAAATAAATTACTCTTGAATTTCTTGTTATGCAAACCTTTTGGCTGGTGTGCCTGCAGCTACTCATGCCAGCTCGGCTCTCTACCTCTGCACGTTCCTGAGCTGCTGCTCAAAGAGCATGGTAGGAGCAGCCCACCACGTGCCCCAGACTCTTGGTTGCTCAGCATGGTTCTGGACCCAGTGCCACCTCATGCAGGTCTGAGAGCAAAGCCAACCCTCAGCCCTAATGCCTGCGCAGCTCAGTCATGGGCCAGGGGGAAAGCCAGGCAACTCCATCTCCATTTCTACATCCAAAAAAATAGATTAATATCTTAAGTGAAGGTCAGTGGATGGGCAGTGTGGGAACTCCTGCAGCTCCAGTTAGTGGGAACAAACCCAGAGTGACGGGGACCACAGCAGCCGAGCACTGGTCGTCAGATGTAGCTGAGTGGTTTCATGTTGTATTCCATGTTTGTGTTGTTCCCCCTTTGCAAATGGGGAAACTGAGGCTCAATGAGTTTTTGTTTGTTGGTTTTTAGAACTTCCCAAGCCACTGAAAGAGTGGTCAGGCTGAGTCCTGCTTCTGCAAGGACTTCTTAATGACAGCTGCTTTTGTGATGATGGGGTCGGGGTGTTTTGACTCATGTCATAGCATGGGGAATGGTGGACTAGAATCAGAGCTGTGACCTCAATGTATATATGTGTGTGTACAAAGAATTTAAATTTCATTGGATCTAAGTTGCTGTTCCAATTTTGAAATCTACTGGCCGTATAACTATTTGTGACAATTTGAGCACTCAGTGATTTTTGCTTATCCTTAGCGTGGGAAATGCAATAATAAAAATTTTACAAATGCAAAAACCATTTGGAACAGCAACAGCTAACACCAGGCGTATTTTCTATGTTCCAAGCACTGTCCTGAGCTCTCCATACATACATCAACACATTTAACCTTCATAAAACCCCTAAGAGGTAGATAACACTGTAGGGCCCATTTTACAGATGGAAAGCGAGACCTAGAGATTGACAATGAGCCCAAGATCACGTGACTAGTAAGTTAAGCAGCATTTTAACCATCACTCTGACTTGCATAAACACGCGACACGAAATAGACGTCTACTAAAGTTCGTGATCATGATTACCTATGAGAGGGATTTTCCAACTTGTATTTTAAGTCAGCCCTTCATTCAAACGGCCTGTAGAAATCTTCCTTACCACCTGTTACAGACGAGGCTTCTCTGCTTCACGGAAGAGTGAAGCTTCCCCCTCATTATCACCTCACTCATAGCAGCCTGAGGTTCTTCTGGGGTCACTGAGACTCTGAGGAACCTGGTTTGAAAACCACCAGTTCCCAATCTTGTGTCACAATGTGCTAAGTCACGGCTCACAATACCAGCATCCCATGCCATTGGTTCCAGTCCTGGCTTCCCTACTTCCTGTCCAGCTCACTGCCAATTCACCTGGCAAGACAGCAGATGACAGTCCAAGGGCTTCAATGACCGTCACCAGGTAGAGACCCGTCACCAAACAGCATCACCAGGTAGACAGACACCTGTCACTGGGTAGAGACCCATCACTAGATAGACACCTGTCACTGGGCAGATGCCCATCACCAGGTAGACACCTGTCACCAGATAGACACCATCACCAGGAAGAGACCCAGATGGAGTTTGAGATCCTGGCTTCAGTCTGACAACCTAGGGAGTGAACCAGCAGACTGAAGATCTCTCCCTTTCTCTTTTGCGTTCTTTGCATCTGTGCCTCCACTTTTCTACCCTCTGTGCTCTTGCTCTCCCCGATGCTCAGGATATATCTGCAGGGCCCCTCTCATGCTGCAGCTTTTCTCCATACCCTGTAATGCTATGCCTCCACCCTGCGGGCCGACCCAGTGTGCCCAGCTGGAGACTCACCGCCTCCACCCTGTGGGCCGACCCAGCGTGCCCGGCTGGAGACTCTGCGCCTCCACCCTGCGGGCCGACCCAGTGTGCCCGGCTGGAGACTCACCGGTCTTATCTGAGTTGCAGAGGATGGTTTCCTTCTCGGCTCGCACACCGGGGCTAGGGCCGTGTCTCATCCACATGGTGATGGTGAATTGATCTGTCAGGTTTTTGGGCACAATCCCATCAGGAATCTTGGCACCCTGCCTGCCATCAAACTTGAAGATCATCTCACTGCTGTCCACCAGCAGCCCTGCAGTCCAGTTGGTGGCAGCACTGGGGGGCGGCAGGAGGTCAATGATGCCAGAGGAGGCTCCTGTTACGGGCAGAGGACACAGAGAGAAACAGTCATTTCTCTGTTACCTGCCCCCAGATCAGGATGTACCATTGAGCGTGCTTATGTGGAGGCTGGGGCGCAGCACAGGCTTGGAGACTTGGGGAAAGAAACATCACGCATACCATCCCAGTCCCTGAGTTGCCAATGGTCTGCTTGGGGAAGCCCCAGTAAGTTATACACAAAAGCATTGCATGGAACACAACAGGATGCAACGAACTACAAGGAACAGGTGTGGGAGGAGTTTAGGGAATGGGGTGAGTCCTGGGGGCATTTATCAGCAGGGCAGTTTCCTGGAGAAAGCCAGGTTTTGATCTGGATGCCCAAATTCAATTCAAGCATCATTCATCCACTCACCTGAAATCGGTTTAATTAGCGTCAACCTGTGCTAACACCCCTGAGAATGCTGGCCGTATGAATGTGAATCAGACAGCTCCAGACCTGGAGGAGCTTGGGGCCAGCACGGGGACAAGGCTGTCATCAGGGCTGTGACTGAGGAAGGCCCTAGACCCTGACCCCATGAAAAGGCATGCGAGCCACGTCACTCAGCACACATTTCTATAACCATTTGTTGAGATTTAACAGTCCAGTGCTATGAGAATACTGGTCTGGATGTGACACAGGGCAGCAAGGCTCGCTAGCTTGTGACTGTGAGCCAGTTGCCTAGTTCTCCGACTCTGGGTTCCTCTTCCTATGGCGCTGAGGGCTGAGTGAGCGATCACACCGGAGCTGGCATAGGCTGCTTGCCACATGCAGAGTGCAAGCTACCCACTGTCATCATCACGATGGTTTCTGCTAAAGCAGCAGTCACCTGCGCCAAGGTACAGGACTCAGCCTGAAGGAGGGGAAGGGCCATGGGCAGACTGACGTATTAGGAGAATCGCAGGGGTGAGGTGGCTAATAATCCTGGCTGGCCCACAGGAGCCCTGGGCCTCCACTGCTTCCCCTACAGGCTCAAATACAGAACAGCCTACATCCCCTGTTCCATTCAGGAGCCAGACATGGCTGCTCAGGGAAGCGGGAGCACCAGGAACTTCTTGCTGTGTTCACACAGTAAGCAACAGGGATTCCAGAGGCCCGTGTCGTGGTATAACAGGTAAAGACACAGCCTGGGATGCCACATTCCATATGAGTAGGGTGATTGGTTCATGTCCCAGCTGCTAGTCTTCTGATCCAGCTCTCTGCTGAGGGCCTGGAAACAGCAGTGGAAGATAGCCCAGGTGCATGGGCCCCTGCCACCCCTGTGGAAGACCCTTTATGGACGTGCCCATTGTTGTAGCAATCTGGAGAGACACCAAGGGATGGAAGATCTCTCTCCCCTCTCTTCTCTCATAACTCTGACTTTCAAATAAATAAATACATCCTTTAAAGAGAGAGAGAAAAAAAAAACCCAGGGAGCTTAAGGAGGGCCCTGTGCTGGGGGCGGAGGGCACAGCTCTCTCAGCGTGGGCTGCCCAATCATTCATAAACTCTGAAAGGTTTAATGGACGGTGGTTGTGTGTATTACCTGCCATTTGTCTAGGGTCATTGAATTTTTGACTTCCATATATCAGAACCTCATCTCACCTCAGGGGTTGGGTTTCAAGTCAGCCGCCACGAAAAATCTCTTGTAGTCGGAACAGTGTTGGAAAATCCTTCGGGGAGGCACAATATGGGAAACCAACACACTTCTTTGAAAATGTTCAGCCCTGCTAGCTTTCTTTCTAGCCTTGGAGCAGGTCAGCAGGTCTATGCTTTGCAGGAAATGCGCATCCTCACAGTCCAGAGACTCCCTACTCTCTGTAAGGGCTTCACCCTGGGAGAGGCTGAGAAAGCAGATACTAGGCTGGAATCGCATTTAGTTCCTCAAGCTCCTGGGGGAAATGTAACCCCCCACCGTCTTTCTTTCATTGTTAATGGATTAATGCTGAAGACGTGGGATTAGGGTAAAGGCTTAATCCAATGACAGTGCCTGAAGGTGGGACCTTTGGGAAGTTGGGGGACTGGATCGCATAGCTCGGTGCAGCCCCACGAGGGACCATGACGGCTTTACAAACAGAGGCACACGGACGTGCAGGAGCAGTTTGTTTCCTGGATCAAGTGATCGGTTCCTTTGTTCATGTTCCTCGACTACCAACCTCCACCCTCATCAGGTGCCTGAGCCCGGGGGTTGTCCGATCTTGAAATCTCCATTCCTGTGAGCTGAGAGAAACCTTCTCCCTTCCTCAGCAGCTCCCTTGGGTTATTTTTAAGGTACTGGAAGACTGACCATCACGGTGGAGGATTCAAGTCTTGCGGTTAACCTGCATTCTTAGCTTGGGCTTCTCAGAGCATAGGAGGCTCAGTAATTGTAACTGTTCCTCTACTCAGGCTCCCCTGGATGTGTTTCTGGTCATGTATCAATGCTCCAAGAAACCTGCCCGCCTGAGCATCCTCAGCATCCTGGCTGCTGGTCCCCTCCCCATCCCAGGCTGACAGCAACGTGATTGGCACACACGTACTTATTTTATAAACTAATTCATATTCTTGTAATAACCATCAAAATCTTCACTCCTTGGGTATGTATTAAGAAAGACATCAATTGGGGCTGGCATTGTGGCATAGCAGAGAAAGCTACCACTTGCAATGCCAGCATTGCACAGAAGTGCTAGTTCCTGTCCTGTAAGCCCCATTCTGTTTCAGTTTCCTGATACTGGCATGGGGAAAACAGCAGAAGAGGGTCCAGGTCTTTGGGCCCCTGCTGCCCACATGGGAGACCCAGATGAAGCACCTAGTTCGTGGCGTTTGCCCAGCCCTGGCCAATGCAGACGACTGGGAGAGCTATCGTGTGCTTGCTGTCTCTCCTTGTTTCTCTTTAACACTCCCATTCATGAATCCATAAATCATTTCTTTAAAAAATACACCAAGCAAGGTGGTAGCAGACTCATGAGTTGATTCAGGACCAGGAGATAAAGTGAATTCTTTATAAAAGCTCCTTTTCCCCCAGCATCCTCTTTGATCCAGTAGGGCAGTTGAGTTGGACACAGGATTCGGTCAGTGTGAGGCCAGTCAGTGACCACAGCACACACAGAATGAGGATCTGCTCCTGAAACCTGGGGCAGAGGGACACAGGCTTCTGCTGGCTCATTCTGGCCAAGGGCACCAACACAGCCAGCAGGAGCCTGTGCAGAGAGGCTCCTGTTGCCTGCCTTACTGCTAAGCAAGGGCCCTTCTTTTGACAAAGGACCCTGCTGTCCCTGTGGGAATCGCAGTGCCATTAACACCAGCCTTGGAACGTGAGAGAAGGAACAGGTGGGCCCAGACAAAGTGGATTTCAGTTCTGACATTTTCATTTGGCTATGTGCACAGGCAGGTCCAGCATGAGAGAAGGCCCTTTCCCAAGCCCCCTGTGGCAAGGCTGCAGTGTCCCATGCAGGCTCCTGAGGCTGTGTGGAGAGAACAAGACAGGAGCAGCCAACTGCAGAGGCAGGCAGGCAGACAGGCAGACAGGCGGGTGGTCGGGCAGGCGGGCAAGCAGGCAGGCACAGTGGTCCTTCTCATGTAGCTGCTGTGCGTTGCCACACGTCCCAGGCTCCTACAGAGAGCCACCTTGCCACTGCAGAGGCCTACCAGGGCTCCACGGATGCTGACTTAATGAGTCTGCTATGCCTAGATCCACCTTCAGGTTCTGGCTCAGTCTCTTTCCTTCTGTATGAACTCATGCCTTGCATTTTCCATCTACATCACTGTCACGGTGAAGGTGAGCATTGCACTAAATACTGCGTGGAAGAGTCTGCAAGGGTGCACGCAGTAGTTGCTTTATGAAGCCAGGTCTCCTCCACACCCATAGCACAGCTCCTTCAGCTTAGCTTCTCAAGTCCTGGCCTGCTCCGTGTCCCACAGTCCCACCTCCCATCCACGGACCCCAGTCCTCTCTGCCTATACCAATGTGTGTTAATGTCCCCACCTCCACCCCAACACCAAGTTTCTCCCTGCTCACGGCAGCCAAGCCCAGCCTCAGGGATCCATGATCTTAGCAGAGACAAGGACTCCAGGCTTACTTGTGAGCCCCTGGTCTAAAGCTTTGTTATTGCTGTACTAAGATTCCTAACAGAACAATGATGCTGCAGTTCGATTTGCATGGAGCCCAGCAAATCATGCAGCTGGTTCTGTGGGGAGGTGTCCACTCTTCAAATCTGGCCAGCTAGCTCTTTGGAAGCCAGCAGGACAGATGGGGCATGGCAGAGGTCTTCCAGGACTTGTGCTGGTTGTTCCTAACCTTACTGCATCATTTAATCCCTGTGTCACCAATGAAAGCCAGAGGCTTGCCTGGGCCACTGGTCAAGCCCACCAAATAATTACAAAGGAGTCTGAATTGGGTCCCACCAACCTTACAAATGAATCCACCTGGTGACTCCATAATCAAGTACAGGTGGGAGGGCTGGGTCTTTCCCACTACCTTATTTGTGTCACTCAGCCAGTCCCAGCAGGCATGCACCTACCGCACAGCTTCTGGAGGGACTTCTCAGAGTAGGTCTCCCGGTCGCAGCCTTTCCCAATGTAGTTGGTCTGCAGTTCTGTAGTGACTTGTAAGGAGGACACGGCTCCATCACACGTCTCCAGGTGGATGCTGGGGAACAAGGCCACGCTCCCTGAGCCCGGCTGGTACTCAATCCTTTTGGTCCAATCTGAATTAACAAAGACAAAAGATGAAACAGGGTGGTCAGTTCTGCAAGAATACTTTTTCTGTCACAACCGATACATTAGGCAGCACTGGATTTGTCCCAACCAATACAGTAGGGAGCACTCAGAGGCTGATAGGAATTTTGCTTTGGTTTATGCAAATTTCCTATCTAAGAAATATGAGGCAAGTGCACACAGCTGCACTCAGCTGGACTAAGCCACATGGGAATACGCATGATGTGCCTACACACATCTTAAACTTCTTCCGGCTGCTCAGTTCTCTGTGCACTGCAGGAGGAAAGTGGCACTCTCAGGAGAGGTACAGAGCTCAGAGAACAATCGCTGGAGATGCACACTAAAGAGCAGAAAAAGGAAACGTTGCACCAATAGTACAATACATGTGTATATTGCATGGGGGAGACCTGGCTTTGCTGGTGTGCCTGCATCTATGGCTACAACCTCCTTCACCAGCGAGACCTCCACCCACCACTTCAGTAAACGCTGCGTAAAATGTACAGGCTTCGTGAACCACACACTGCAGCCCTCCTACTGACACTCAGGTCTCTTCCAGGCCAAGTACTTATGCAAACCTACGTTACCATAGGGCAGGTTAAGCTGCTGTCCTCTGTCCTGGCTGCTCCACTTCCAACCCAGCTCCCTGCTCACGTGCCTGAGAAAGCAGCAAAGGATGGTCTAAGTGCTTCGGCCCCTGCAACCACGTGGGAGACCCAGGAGACGCCTCTGGCTTGTGCCTGCATCAGTCCTGGCCCTTGCAGCCATCTAGGAAATGAACCAGCAGACAGAAGTGCGTGCTCTCTGTCTCTCCATCTCTCTCCTTGTTACTGTCTTCAAATCAACAAAATGTCTTTGTTTCTGAGACAGCCCCCTGCGTCATTATCTTTCTCTCTTACATGTCACAGATGACCGTTTCTGGGCCCGTGTTTCTTGGCCATTTGCCATGCACTGCGAGCTCTGGTAATGCTTCGGAGGACTGCATGCCATCACAAGGCAGGACTGCCAACACTCAGAACACACTGCCCAAACGGCTGCAAGGCCAGGGCTGGACCAGGCCAAGCCAGGCACCTGGGGCTCCAGCCGGGTCTCTCATGTGGACAGCAGGGGCCGGAGCGCTTGGGCCATCTTCTGCCATCTTCCCAGGCTGTTAGCAGGGAGCTGGTCAGAGCATCTGGGACTTGAACCAATGCTCATATGGGATGCTGGTGTCACTGGCTTGGCTTAACCCACCGGGTCACAGCACTGGTCCCTGGACTACCATTCTGCTTTTCAGTAGAGAAACAATTCAGAGATAATGAAGCAATGAAGAGGAACAAAGTTAATATCAAAATTCCACTACACAAGAAACAAACCGATCACAGAAATGAATACCAAGTCTGAGCTCATAGGAGTTGATTGCTGTACTAACATCAGAGTGGAAGGTCAGAGCCAGCCAAGGTGCTGCATGTCTGACACCAGCAGGCACCTCACACTCTGTGCGGAGTGTTCACCATGCTCAGTGAGGCTGTGTGGAAGCAGCCTGTGTCATTCAGCAATGCAAGTGATGGGCACCACTGGTGTACAAAGCCCAAGTTTGTCACGTGGCCTGTGGATGCCCTGTGACGGCATGGCACGGCCAGGATCATCTGTGGAGCTGCCTGCTCTTGCCTAGGAGAACGTCAGGGGAGCTCAGTGCTTGTGGCCTTGGTGTCAACTTGCAGCCACTACGAATGCTGGACTCGTGGCTGAGTCACCACGACTGCCCACGGCCACAGAGCCCTTCTGCACAGGCTCCGCCATGACTCACAACGACTCTAGCAGCTTTAGACTCACTCTGGAACGTTCACATGGAAAGTTCCAGTGCTGAGGAGGGACCCTGGGTGCTGTTGGTGTCATCCCCGCCCACCCAGAAGGTGGCCTGTGGAGGAGCTTGGCAGCCATCTGAACTTGAACCTCAACTTCCAAGAAACACAGGGCACAGGTGTTCAGCTGACGGTGCCTCCTCCTGGCTGTGTGAGCCTTAAACCAGGTCACACGGGTGAGAACTTGCCCTGGTGCCTCTCCCCATGCTCTACTGTGGGGAAACAAAATCCGTGTCATTGGTCAGGGGCCTGCGGGCTGGCTTATGCGTTGTGGTCCAACGCTGCTCTTTGGTGAAGGGAAAGGGGATCGACTTCCAGCTGTTTCTGTGATCAGGCTTGGCCCATCCTGACAAAGCTGACAGGAGAGAGAGAAGGCTCTCTGCCTGGGTGACGTCCAGTCAGCTGACCATCTAACCAACCTCTGGAGACACGGACCCGCTGCTGACACTCAAGACTTCGCATTTTGTCCTGGGATCTGTTCATGATGTAGCTGGTTCTGTCTCACCAGCCACATGACCAGGGCATGTCCCTTAGTGTGGCCGAGCCTCAGTTTCCTCACCTGTGGAATGGGAATACCAGTGACCTGCCCCACAAGAAGACCCTGAAGCAAAACTGGCAGGATGCAGGCTGTGAATCGCAGTGCTGCCATGTGGCCTCACTGTGGGCAAGCTGCCTCCTTCACCATCATGGGAGCAGAGGACAGCATCTGATGAATGCCCCCCATAGAGCCCCACGCCTGACACATATAAGTATATACATTTGTGAGCACTCAATCGTAGGACTTTCTCATCTCCAATTACAAGCAATTACATGCAGGCGCCATTTACCAAGAAACAACGCAAACTCTTGGAATTCAATTATAAATAGAAGGAAGCTCCTCTCTCCCTTCATTACTGATCCTTTTCCATTTGCTATATTTTACTCTCACCAGAGCATTTTATTACCATCTAATTCCTACTAAAGAAGACAATTGCCCACAACAGGAGGGGTGGTAGATGAGAATCTCATACACTGTCTCCTCGGTGGAGACTCTAAACTGGGGCTGAGCCATCTCCTCTGCCCGCAGGCCCGGTCCCTGCCTCCTGGGCTGCACCTTCTCCTCCGCCCGCAGGCCCCGTCCCTGCCTCCCTGGGCTGCACCTTCTCCTCCAGGCTGGGGCTGAGCCGTCTCCTCCGCCCGCAGGCCCGGTCCCTGCCTCTCTGGGCTGCACCTTCTCCTCCAGGCTGGGGCTGAGCCGTCTCCTCCGCCCGCAGGCCCGGTCCCTGCCTCTCTGGGCTGCACCATCTCCTCCAGGCTGGGGCTGAGCTGTCTCCTCCGGCCACAGGCCCTGTCCCTGTTTTCCCTGGCTGTACCTTCTCCTCCCTCCAGTGGCCCATTCCCCGCCTCCCTGGGCTGTACCATACTAGAGTGCTGCTTGGAGTCTTAGCTGCTCTGCTCATCACCCAGCTCCTTATGAACGCTGGGAGAAGCAGCAGCAGATGGACCACGTGCTTGGGCTCCTGACCCCACATGGGAGCCCAGAATGGAGTTCCAGGTTCTGGACTTTGATCTGGTCCAGCCACAGCCATCGTTGTCATTTGGAGCTGTGAATCAGCAGAAGGAAGGCTGGTTTTTATCTCTGTGTGTCACACTTTTACTCTGTTGCCTAGCCTTCCAAATAAACATCTTTAAAATATTAAAATAAGCAGCTACCATCCTAGAGGCTCTGAGGTATTTTGACCCTTTTTGCCCCCCAAACCAATGCCAATTAAAACAGTCAAAAATTTATCCTCAAATTTTGTGTTGGCTGTGAGCTTCAGCAGTGTTCCTCCATGACGGAGGGGATTGAGGTTAGTTGCAAATTAACACTGAGAGTGTCCCTTCCACCTGGCCTGCAGACCTTGGAACAGTGGCCGACCTGGCCAGGCCTCATTCTAGCTCATTCTGCAGGCAGCTGCAGCCCAGCAGCTTCTTGTGAACAGGGGCTAATCTCACAGCCTCTTCCCTGAGAACTGGTGCCACCGGGGTAGGACAGCATGCCAAAGGCGACTTACTGTGCAGACTCAGCAGGACATGCAAGGCGGAACTGTGTACAATTCTGCAGGGCAAGAGCCAGGAGGGGTTCAGCTCCAGACCCAGAGTCCTAATGGCTGCTGCCCCCTCTCCGCCCCCACCATGGACACAGGCATGTGAGGCAGTAAGTGCAAAAGCCAAGAGTGGGCGCTTGGCAAACTGTACAGCCACCTGACGCTTGTTGTATGTAGCTGGAGGTAATTTAGATGGCTTGGGTTTTATCTTAACCATTTGTTTTACTTGTCTAGAAATTTCTGAGATGGTTTCAGAAAGAACTGGACCTCAGCTGACTGAGAGAAGCCTGGGTTGCTTTGCTGCTGACCATCTGAGCAGGATGGAGACCGCTTGCACCTACCCCCATGCTGAGCCCTGTGCCTGCATACCCTGCCAGCCCACAAGGCCAGAAGGGCCTCGGCCTCCTACGTCTCCACAGACTCCACCCCTGGTCCGATGGCCAGCACCCGGGCCAGTAACTGTGGCAACCTGCCTTCTCCTGGCCCCTCTAAACTACACTGGGCACCCCTGCCAGGCTCATTTTCACCAGGGAAAAGAGGCAGGACTCAGACAAGCAACGGGTCTCTGCCTGGGCCGACAGAGACCATTCTCTTACGTACGGGAAACATAAGCTCTTTTCTAGGCACTTTTCTTGCCTTGGTCCAACATGTTATGGCTCCAAGATGGCACGCCCGCTCTCTGGGGTTTCTTCAATTTTGTGATCTGGATTAGCATTTACAACTGAAGAATATATTTTTCCTACAAATGTTTACGACAAGAGGGCTTGTGTCCACTTTTTCATACTCTGACTATGTGATTTTTTTTTTTAATCTATCCATGGTACATGGTTCTAAAACCATGGATTTTTTTTCTTCTAGAGGATTTTTACTGTAGTTGGTTACAGCACTGGACTTTCCATTTCCCTAAACAAGATTCTCAGGTTGAGACCTCCAGAAGTCGGCCACCTCCGTGTTCCTGTTCTCTCGCCCCAGCTAATCATGGAAGTTGAGGTCCCAGGGGACGATGGTCATGGAGGGGAGGCAGGCCAGCCCAAAGTCCCTTTTCTGTAGGAAAAGTGACCGACAGCCCCTGCACCTGCCAAA